AGGGATTCTGGGCACTGGGGGACATTTTAGACCTGGTTACAGGGTGTGGATTTGAGAGAAGCCCCTCATGGCAGGCCGCAGGGTCAGAGCTGGGGGCAGAGACTGCACGTGGCACAACAATCACACAGCAGGGGTTGGTGGAGCAGAAGGTGACCTCTGTGCAGAAGGGCCACGGGGACACATCTAAATCCAGCCAAGCCAGAGTCTCCAGAGGTAGAGGCTTGGCATCCCCTTCCTAGGATCTAGGTCACCAAAGCAGGCTGCCACCCCTGCCCCACATGCTCTCAGACCCCCTGGGAGCATCTCACTGAGGCAAGAAGCCTTTTGACAGGGCAGTCTGAGGGAAGGTTTCCAGCCCCGTGCCACACGCATTTCAGTGTATATTAGTGGAGGGGGTTTTCTCCTGCCTCAGGGCTAGAAGCATGTCCCCTCTCTGGCACTGGCCGCCTCGTTTAGGGGCCATGGATTGGATGGTAGGGGGCATGGTGATTCCCGCTGTGGCTTCAGTGCCTTCTAGTCTGCAGGAAGGACAAATAGACACTAAGGACTTGGAATGAGTACGTGAGTGGAAAGGACTGGCAGGAGAGAGAGGAGTCCTCATTTCCTCTTTCCTCTCTTCTCCACCCCTCCAGGACACACAGAGCAGCTGGTGAATTTTGCCCTTCTCTCCCAGCCAAGCCCCTCATGTCCCCAGGCCTCAGTCACACGCAACAGCTCTTAGTGTCCCCTAAGGTCTTGGTCCCACCTCTGCTCATTTGCTTACCTGTCTCCCTTCACCAGGAGTACCCTTACCTCATCTCCGCCCTCAAAATGTACATCTCAGCTCCAAGAGTTCCTCTGCCTTAAACATTTGCCCAGTCCCATTCCCCCATCCCATCCAGTAAAATGACGCCTCCCTCTGTGGTGCCTCAGGTGGGGAAGGGGCAGTCTGAACAGGTGGCACAGAGACAAGGCAAGATGCAGGGCAAGGAATCAGTATGAAGCACCAAGACTGAAGGTGGAGGACTGGGGCTGGAGGAAGAGTAAGAGAGGTGGGAGAGACAGGACTTGGGAAGGACAGTGACTCCCAGGACCTTAAGGCCAGAGGCAGGATGAGCAGCGAGCTGCAGAGCAAACTACCAGGTATCCCCACACCCCAAGCACAGGTCTCTTGTGGGTGCCCCTTCCTGCTTTCCAGCTTTTCCTGGTATCATGCTCTTGCCCTCCTACCCTGTCCTTAAAGATCCAGGACAGAAAGGCCAGGGTCCAGGGATCCTGAGGAAGAGCAGCCACTCACTCAGAAGCAGTTGTAGCAGCAGCAGTATAAGGAACCCCAAGCAGCGAGCCATGCTGGTCTGCAAACAGAGAAGACAGCGCCAGGCGGAACCCCCGCGGGACAGGTGCCTTCTCCCAGTGCTGCCTGAGCTGGAGCAGGTGGAGACCTAGGCATCTACGCTGATAAGTGCACTCCCACCCCGAGGAGAATGCATGACTCCCCGCCCCACACTGAGTCCCCGCCCCGAGTCCCCGCCCCAAGCTGCACCTGAAGGTAGATCCAGGAGCCACTGAATCTAGAGCCTGAATGTGTCTAGATGGACCCCACTGCACCCTCCCCCATCAAAGCAACACCCATACAGCCACTCCAGGAGACTTTGTCTCTCCCATGCTGAACTATTACCTTTATGAAACACTGTTCTTTTTATTCCCTGATTTTACTTTTTACTGTTTACTAATTTTAGACTTGCAGGAAATTTGCAAAAACGTTAGTATTCCCTTTATACTCTTCACCCAGCTTCCACTGATGTTAACATCTTACATAATCATAGCACAATTGTTACAACTAGGAAACTAACATGGGTACAATACAGTTAACTACAGACCATTCTGAATTTCCCATTTTTCTACTAATGTCCTTTTTCTGTTCCAAGATCCAACCCAGGATCCCACATTGCACTTAGTCATCATATGGCCTTAGTTCTCTCCAATCTGTGGCAGTTCCTCAGTCTTTCCTTACAAACCCGGTGCTTCCCCATATGGCCCTGCATGCCCCCTTCTCTTGGGGGACTGTAAGTGATCAAAAACACTTCTTTCAATGGCACTAACCTCTCCATGTCATCACTCAGTCCTCTCTATAAATCAAAATCCCACAGGTATAATGAACATAGGAGGGGGCTTTAGAAAACAGTCTCATTCAGCCCCTCGGGGCTGGTCGACTGAAAGCAAGCCTGAGTCAGGGGCTGCCTCTTCTCAGCTGCCAATGGAGGGAGCCAGTGTTTGCAAAAATTCCCCAACTCCACACCCTCTGAATTATGGTTTTGGTGCTCTTATTATAAGGTAGAGATTTTTCCCTAGTTCCCGGAAGCTGGGCTAACTCTGTGACTTGCTTGGGCCAACAGAGTGTCATGGAAATAAGGTGCCAGTCACGGAATCTCAAGAGGCCTTGCAACCTTCTACTTACTCTCTTATAGGGTCAGGTGAGAGGCAGTTGCCTCAGGATCACAATTACTGATGTTTCCTTTTGCCTCTGGCTCCCACATGGGTAACATAGCGCCCTTACTGATCCCCTCTTGATTTAAAATTTTGATATTTTGTTCATCATGAATTTTTTTGCATTAATCTTGATCTTTTAAAATATTGAATTAAAATATTAGTTATCTTGATTACTTTTTTGTGTGCCCAAGGTAAGTGGGCACACGTACCTCATCCTAATCTTGGTCCTGCTCTCTTAGAACCTTCCCTGTCATGTGAACAAGCCTGGACTAGCCTGCTGGAAAATGAGACATGCATCCTACTCATCCCCATAGCCCCAGCCAACAGCCAGCCAACCCCAGAAGCAGAGCTGCCTAGCCGACCATCGGTTGACCACAAACATATAAGTGAGCTGAGCTGAGATCAATCGAACCACTAGCTGAGTTCAACCTAATTTGCCAATTCACAGACTTGGTGGTTGTTTTAACCTACGAAGTTTGGGGTGAGTTTTGTTATCCAGCAGCAGTTGGCTGACACGGAAGGTCGCTCAGCAACTCTTGCATGAAGCAAAGAGAGAGTAAGTGGCTTCTGAGAATGTCCAAGGGAGTCAGGAGAGGTGAGACAAAGGGATCATTCAAGCAAGGCAACACCATCCTTTGCCTGGGTCCATCTGGGGCTCTGGCTCCATCTGAGGCTCTACCCACCAGCCATCACCCCTCAGGGAGCTCTATGAGGTTGAATTTACAGACAGAAAAGACTCACAGAGGCCCAAGGACAACATGTCTTTCTTCTGATTTCTTTGGTGCCCTTTCTAAAATGGCTCCGTGTCCCCGCCCAGAGAATGTAGAAGAGGCTCAGAAATGCCCAAAACGAGGGGGCTGCAGCATACCCCACATTCTTCTAAAACCTCAGGTGCAGAACTAGGAATGAGATGGGGCTTAAGAAGCATCTGGGGACAAGATAGGGCAGGAAGAGGAAGGAAGGAAGGAAGGTCCCAAGAATTTTGTTTGCTTTGCAGGGCAAGGCTCCAGTCCGAGTCCAGGCTCTGGCCCAGCAGTCACTGCCCTCTGCAGAGCGGGGTCTGAGTGAAGTGCATGTAGCACATACCCTCAGGTTCCCCAGACAGAGGCCTCTCCCAGCCTCCCCTGGTGACAGGAGGTCAGCGATTATGTGAACTTTGCCCCTTAGACTGATGGTACGGAGGAGAGGCTATTCTATGAGGTGACCATTGCCTGAACTCTGACCTCTGCCAGATCCTCTGGGTCAAAACAGAGATTGCTTCAGGTAAATCCCCTTGGAGGCTATCTGATTGACCCCCCGCCCCTACGCCCCAGGCAGGCTGATTCCTGGAATGGGGCTCTGTCCTACCCCTGGCAAGGATGTAAGGCATTTTCCCCTTACCTGGGCAGGTCACACCCCCATACCCCTGTCCATCCTGCCCTGTCCTATGCAACCCTTTAGTACCTCCCACGTGGCACAGAGGACGTCCACTTGGTATTGCTGCCGTCCAAGACACACCTCTTATATAAGTTCTCTTAATAATGATGAGTTTTCAGCCTCTTTGGTTTCTCTTCCAGAGTAAGTTTAAGTAACAAAGTTTTACATAACAGGTGGATTCTTGGGCTGGTGTGTGTACCCTAGCAGGATCCCCAACCCTAAGGAACAAGGACAACATTGAGAAAATTCTGATGAGGCTTTGGGGTTCTGGAGTGGGTACGGCAGAGGTAACCTGGAGAAGAAACTTGCAAGCTGCCTGAAGGTGCAGGAGGTCAGCTTACTTGCTGGCTCTCCCCCTGGGGGTCCAAGTGCCTGGAGTGGCTGTCAGTAGCCACCTGTCTTTAAGTGTCCTCCTCTCAGGATCTCCTTCTCACCAGAAACAGGATATCGGCTTCTGAACTTGACCTGCTGTGAACAGAGTGGGGACCTCGGGCTGCAAGTCATGTGGCAGAGGTGACAGATGAGGACAGAAGACAAGAAGAGCCACTTCTCCCTCCTCCACTGCAGAGGTGACTAGCATCTGGCCTCCATGACAACAGCTTCTCCACGTGGTCATACCTCATTTCCATAATAACCGAAGCTCAGAAACCCCAGAGTAGGGGACAGTGAGCTGAGGGGCAAGAGAGGTGGGTGGATGAGCAATGGGGGTAGAAGGCCCCACGTCAGGGTCCCCACCTACCTGGGGGTCCAGGCAGGGCCACAGAGCACAGGCTTCTCAAGGTGGCTGTTGGGCTCTGGCAGAGATCTCAAGGTCTGGGAGCAATGGGTAGAGAATAAGTGCTGTGAACACAGTTGGCAGGAGTCCCTGGGGCAGGTAGGGCACTGGGAACCCAAGGTGGCTGAGTGCTAAGTGGAGAGGAGGGGGCCCAAGAGTCCATCCCTTCACTTCCTTCCCCCAACTCCCCCTGTGCCTCACTCACCCAGGGGCCGGGGTTCTCCAGTGGTCATCCGGCCCAACTCAATGAGGTGAATACTGCTCAGGGGTTGGTCCCTGCGTGGACCACCTTTGGGCCTGAGCAGCGGGATAAGAGGCCAGAAGGTTGGAACAGTGATGTTGAGCAGGACACTCCCAGGCTGCTTCCCTGCAGCCAGCAGCATGTGCCCAGCCTGAGTTTTGTGTTCTGCTCTGCCTTCTGTGTTGAGTTTCCACCCTTCTGTTCCAGGGCACTCTCTAGCTCCCTTCCTGCTCCCTCCTGAAAGGAACCTTTGGGGTCCAGCCTCCAGCTGAGACTCAGGCCTTCCCAGAGCTGCAAGCACTTTCTCTCTCCAGCCCTGACATTTCTCCTGTGTTCTGACACCACCCCAGCATTCTGGCACTCTCTAAATGTTGATATCACTCAGGTCCCAAAGAGGGGTGGACTTCTTCCCCAATGCCAGCTGTGCCTACGCTCCTTTGCCATTGGGTGGCCCTGCTGCCCTTGATGACTCCAAGCAATGCTTGGCTGCTCATGCCGCATCTCCCAGGGCCTGCCACTTCCTTCCATGTCTCCAATGCCCTCAAGACTCCGCCCTGGCAATGACATGCAGTCAACGCCCCCATGAAGGCCCCCTCATGTTGACACACCAAGTTCTGACCACTTTGCGTCTCTGCCCACACACCCCAAATCACTGTTCATTATGTCAAGACCCTCTCAGTTGGCACCTGGGACATAGCTGGTGCCTTACCCCTGTCGGGGATGCCCTCTACTCCCATTTCCAGCCCAAACCCTGCCCTCTCCCTCAGCTTGCCCAGAGCACTCCCAAGGCCAGACTGTCAGATATAGCTATAAGGTACCTGCCTTGCCCAGTGCCCAGTGAAAGGGCAGCCCTAGGTCAACTGTGTTTGGTATTATGGAACCCTCCTCCCACGTCATAAAGAACTGGGTTGGGGTTGGCCCTTGGCACAAGGGCAGCCAGTACCATAGCTGACCAGTGGTATGGAGTAAAAAGATGTGCTGGGCCCAGGATTTGGGAACTTGAAGTGGGTAACGGCAGAGATTTAGGCAAAGGAAGTGAGAGAAGGCTGAAAGCTCATGAGAGAGGCAGGAGAGGCCTTAAAGGGCGCAGTGGAGCAGAAACTACATTAATAGCTAGTGGAAAACAAGGCAAAGTCAAGGGTGAGGCAGCCACTTGGTGGGAGAAACATGGGAATGGACAAAAGGGGCTGAACCACAGCAATGGAGAAGGATAGAGGGTCATGCTGGGATCCACACCCTCAGCTTGACTGGGAGGCCATTCTGTCTCCTGCTCAAGGCTTCTCTTTACTGTCTCTGCTGCCTCTCTGCACCTAGAGGTGAGGCTAAGGACCCTGCCCCAGCTGCACCAGGCCCAGCAGAGCTCTGAGGAGTAGGAGTCACAGGAGTGGGCTCAGGGAGCAGGGAGCTGAGCCCTCAGAGCCTACCCACTGCGCACGGGGTCCCTCCTCGAGCCGCAGAGGTATTGCTGGAGCCAGGATCCTGGCTGCCGGTAGCAGCACCAAGCCAGGCCGGCCCCAGGGAGCAGAGGCAACAGGAAGCTAAAGATCACCGCCAGCAGGAAGGTGTCCTGGTCTGGGAGGACAGGGTGGGGCTGAGTCCTGAGCAGGTGCACCATGCAGCCCCTCCCCATTGCTCCCCATGGGCGCACTTTCAGGCTGCATAGGGCCACTGTCTATGCTACCACCCAACCCTGGCTTGTCACAGGAGGGCGGAGCCCAGCCCGGATCACAGTGGCAGTTGTGGTTACTATTGCAAACCTGCAGAGGAAAAGAGAGGAGGTTCTCATGGCATCAGGGACCTCAAGGTCACTCCCCCCACCTTTCAGGTCACTCACCCCATGGCCATGGCAGGTGATCAGGCAACGCTCCAGCTCCCAGAAGGTAGTGTTCTGGCAGCGCCTCTCCTGGCACACCTATGGGCAGTGGTGTTCACTGAGTAGTGAAGGGGAGTGACGCTTTGGTCTGTAGGATTCAAGTGGCAGGGAGGGGTCCAGTGGGCAGGGCTCACCATTCTAGATCCACACTGGGTACCTGGCTCTACTAGACCCAAGTCATGCGGGTCCAGCTGGGCACCAGGTAGCAAGAAGGCTCCCCTGCAGGTCACCTCGTGGCTGCCTAGGCTGAAGGTAGAGTCCACCGGCATCGTGTGTGGTGCCAGTGGGTTCTGTTCCCCACCCTGGCACTGCAGCTTCCCACACTGTGCATCCCTGGGGAGCAAATAGAGGGTGGTCAAACAGCATGGAATGTCTCCTGCCCCCAACCCGCTCCCCAGCTTCCGCAACCTCCGCTCCTCTCTCCACCTCTGAGCACAAGGCACGAAGCTGCCCTCGGTGTCCTGGCCGCAGTTCCCATGGGCGTCTCCTGCAGAGTTCACCACCTGGAAACAGGCCTCTGGGGCTGGGTGGGAGCCTGGGGAAGCATGGGTAAGGCTGGCGGCCCATATGCGGGCCGCGCTCCTCCCCTCTCAGATCCTCCCTCCTATCTTCCCTAGAGTAGAAAATTGCTCAGCCCCGAAGATGAGGTGGGGTGCAAAGGCGCGCGCGTCTTCTCACCAGGCCCCCAGAGCTGCTGGCACTGCTGCTCGAGCGTGGGACACTCGCCGTCCCGGCAGTAGCCGCGGCCGCTGGCGCAGGGGGAGCCGTCCAGTAAGTAAATGTCTGGGGGGCAGTAGGGAGAGGAGCCCGTGCAGAACTCAGGGAGGTCACAGTCACCAGCAGCCCGGCGGCAAGGCGCGCCCGCCGACTTCAGCTACGCAGGTGACCCGGGTGATGGGAAGGCGGCCGCGGCACAGAGAGAAAATGGATAGTGAGAGATCCACACAGAGAGCGATGCTCGGAGGAGGGAGAGCCCAGCGGGAGAGCCAGGTGGAAGCGAGTACAGAGCAGACCCAGCACCCGCTGAGGACTGAAGGACGCGGACCAGCCGAGACCAACAAACCGGCTCCCAGTGCCCTTCCACCCTCACCTGCGAGCCTCCCATGCCCTCACCAGGCAGCGCGCGCAGCAGTCCCCTTGGGAGCACTGAGCCCCCGCACGCAGAGAGCAGTCGTGGGCAGAGCAGCAGGTGTCCGGGCACTCCTGGAGCCGGAAAGGCAAGGAGGGACCAGGTGAGGGAGCAGCGCGCCGGACCTCGGGGCCAGCGGGCGGTGGGGCCGGCCTTGGCCTCCCGAGGCCGGGCGCGCAGACCTGACCTGGCCCGCGCCGCAGTCGCACTCTTCGCCCTCCTCCACAAAGCTGTTTCCGCAGTGCGCGGGGGGCACCAGGAGCCCGGAGTCCGGCGCGTTAGACAGGCACGCTCCGCCCCCCTTGCGGAAGAAGGCGCGCAGCTGTCTGCGGCTGCAGGCGCTGAACACTCGCGGGAACGGGTGCCTACGCGCGGGAAAGGGCGTCGGACGCGCGGGGACGCCCCCTCTCAACCCACTGTTCACCTCTGATCCCCTCCCACAACGACCCCGCCCCCCGCCCCCCAACCCCGCGCTTGGCCACACAGTCGCGGGATACGCGGACGCTGCCTGAGCTGCGGGCGGCTAGACTCCTTTAGAGGCAGAGCCCAGAATGGGTAAGTGACTCGTGCAAAGTCGCATAGAGAGCCCGAGACGGGAGGGTGTGACGTCAGGAGCTGGCAGCCCAGGATCGGGGTCGAATCCCGACCTAGCGCTGCTACTCCCGGGGATGGAGTAACCATTAGGCTATTCATACTCTTGAGAATTCACTTTCCCTGCGTTTCTTCCATTTGAGCCTCATAACTCTCAATGCGGGTACTATGATCATATCCCCATTTTACAGAAGAGGAAGCGAGGATAACCATTCGTGCAAAGGAATGCAGCCGAGGAAGGGCCCTAGATCTAGCGAAGCCTGCCGGGCGAAGCCTGCCCCGCAGCCCCTAACCCCACCGGGGCGCCGGTACCCAGTGGCCGAGGCCATGACGCAGCCTCCCTGCTCCGCCTCGGCCTCCACGCAGCAGCCATCAGGGTCGTGGCTGAGACCCAGGCTGTGGCCTATCTCGTGGGCCATGGTGACTGCAGCGCCAATGGGGAGCTCCGAGTGGTCCTGGGAGGATGCAGGGACAGTCACTACGAGCTGCGGGGAACCCCCCAACCGCCACCACCTGCACCTCTCCTCCGCTCTGATATCGGGGCAGCTCACCGTGCTCACGCCCCCCGAGCTCTCAGCGTGGCACATACCCTCCACCGGCGCTAGGCCCACCGTGTTGCCCTGAAAGACACGGCCCCTGAGGGCAGAGGGCAGCGTGACTGGCGAGGCGGGAGTCACACATGCCTGGCGCGATGGCACGTGGGGATCGGGGGCACCTACGTGAGCAGCTGCGCTGAGTCGTGTGGCAGCCGCGCCCACAACCCCCGACGCCACTGCAGGAAGGCCCAGAGTGTGGCGTTCGCATCCGTTGTGACAGGGCTCTGGTCCTTCTTGGTCCACACTTCCAGGCCGGTCAGCGCCACCTGAATGTCCAGAGTCCTGAGAATCTGCAGTCAGGGCAAGACAGGCCTGAAGAAGGGGACCAGAGGGCCACTGTGCCCCTGCTCCTCTGTGGGGGCACCCCTCTCCTCTCCGCTCATCCCCTCACCGCATCTCCAAGCCTACCACATCCCATTAGGACCTGACTGCCCCTTGTTGTGGTCACCCCCATTAGGGCTATCTCCCTACTGCCCCTGACCTGGTCCACATAGTTGGTGACTTCCAAGAGACGCTGTTTGGTATGGTTCAAGTTCCGGTGCTGGGTCAAGAACTGGAAAGGCACAGCAAGGTGGTGTGAGGGGCTGAGCTGGTCCCATCTGGGCTGCCAACCCCCTGGGTCTCCTCTCACCAGGGTATGGTCAGCTACTACGTACAGCTCCAAGTACCTCCTGCTCCTGCCAGCCTCCCGCCTCTTCTGGGGAGAGGCAACAGTGACCCTGAGTGACAGGCTGCTGGGCTTGAGAGCCCTGACCACCAACCTCAATGCCTAGAAAGCAGTTAACTTTAATTTTTGCTAGAATTTGTTTCTTCAGCTTCCAAATATAAGGACAGGAGGCCCTGAACTGTCACTGTGCATTCCTGTCTCTTCTGATTTGGGGGACTATGGACACTGCATTCCCACTCCCACCCCTGTCTGTGCCCCTGACCCTGATCTGGGTGGCATGAGAAAAGCTAGCCACGTCTCCTTTGTCCCCAGAGTCCCTATGGCCACATGCTCCTTTCCAGCTGAGCGATTGCTTGGTCCGGAAAATCTTGTGAGTTGAGACGTCCTTGGTGTCCCCAGATGGCCAGGGATGCACATAATAGCTGGCGTTGCTGCTGAGCTTGATCAGGCCCCTGGGGTGCAGAGGGGGGTGTGAGAGAACTCTTGCCCTAGCCCCAGGCCCAGACTCTCCCCCCAGAATGCCTCACCTCATCCCAAAGCAAGTGCTGAGGATGACCCAGGAGTCCGGGAAGCCTCTCACACGCCCATGGTAGTGACAGTGATCCTGGAGACCAAAGAACACAGCCCCAAATCTCAGCCAAGGTTGAGGGCATGGTGCGGGGGCTGGCTCCTGCCTCTCCTTAGGATCAGGAGGAGAATGGAGGAGGAATTGTGGGTAGGCCCGTAGGGAGTGCATCCCCCAGCACCCTTACCGTGTCCTCAGAACACATAAAAGTATCTCACCGTGTGGTTGGGAACCAGCACCACTGGCTGCCCATCTGGTCTGTAGTGGGTTTCTCTGTATCCCGGGGCCAGCAGCCTGCTGGGAGAGAGTGTTACAGGAATCACCTAATGCAGCCCTACCTCCTCCGGGATGCCTTCCTCCCTGAATACTGATTGAGCAGTTCTAAGAGTAAGGCACAGGCCTAGCACTTAAGAAGCAACCCAAGTGTGCCTTAGGGAAGGGACAGGCTTGACCGTGCGCTGCTTCACTCAGAGAAGACTTGGGCTAGAGGGAGGAGAAAGGCGAAGGGCAGGAAGGGGCCTTGGTGATGGCTTAGATGTGGGCAGTGGGAGTGTGGGAAGCACCAGGGAGGAGCAGGAATAAAGGAAACGTGTGTGGTCCCTGTGGGGTCTGGTTCCACAGGTCTGGAGCTGGGCTGGAGGGGAAGACTTAGGAGATACTGCCAAGGAAGTGGGAGTGGGAGCCAAGATGGTATGGTGAACTCCCCAGGCGGCCCTGCCTGCTGCCTGCCCTCGTTAGGCATCTGGTCAGCCCCCTCTCAGTCCACCTCCCTGCCTCAAGGATTCTTCACATCTTTTCCTTTGGCCCAGACCCCACATATCTCCCCACCTGTTCTTCAGGGGTGCTTATTCCCTGCTTCTAGAAGAAACAGAATCCCCACCTGCCCCCACCTTCTGTAGACTCCACTTCAGTAATGATTCCATTTTCAGGCTTCACCTCACCAGGGTCCTTCCCACCAAGACGGATCACCCATAAGTCAGTGTCTCTTTTTTTAAGAAAATCCTCGATCCATACCTCACCTTGACCTCTTTACCACCAGACTGCCCCCAAAGACCTGTGATGCCTGCTTCTCACCTCCTAGTCTTTCCTCCACCTTCTCCAGCTTTGTTCCCCACTCAACCCTAGGAGGTAGGTGATGTGACCACTTCATTTAATGTGTGGGGACATGAAACCCCAGAGAAACTGGTTCGGCATGGTGGAACTAGAGTTTGTTCCCAGTTCGTCTGACTCCATGAGGGAGAATAAAACATGTGTAGAGTGCTTAGAACAGTGCCTGCAATGAAACAAGCACTCGATAAATAGCTGTTGATAATATAGTCTGAAAAGTTTTAAGATCCCACACTCCATCTTGGACAACCACACCATCCAGCCTAGCACCATCCACCAACTCCAAATCTTTGGCTCTGAACCATCCAGGACACTCAGCACTAAAATGGCCTTCTGTGATCTGGCCTCACTGGGACTCCCCAAATTCATTTCCCGCTGCTCTTTTTCTTGCGGATGGAGACCCTCTGGGAAGGCTGGACAAATTGCTGCCACCTGAATGTGCCTTATAGCCGCTGCACCTTCGTCCCTGTCATTTCATCAGCCCGCTCTTGGAATCCATCTTGGATTTTTTGGCTCAGCTTACTCTTCAAGCACCCACTAGGTGATGCTCACTCATTTCCAGCAGGGAGATGGCAAGAAGCTTCTGGGGCCTGGATGAAGGATGTGCCCCACAGCAGGACAGACCCAGCCCCAACAGTCCACTTCAGCCTCAAGGGAGCCAGTCATAGAATGGTGTGACACTGTCACCTGAGCCTCCTTGGGGCCCTCACCCCTCTAGCCTCCCTCCTGGGTTCCCACCAGTCCGTGCCCCCAGCACTAGTTCTCCCCAGAGAGAAGGGCTGTCTTGACTCCTAGCACATTCCCTGGCCTGGTACTTACTGATTCTTCTCCAGCTCTAGCAGAAGCTCCTGGCCTTCAGCCTTCAACGCCACCAGCCTCGTGTCTAGCTTTAAGACCTGGACAAGAAGGAGTATAGGACTGAGATGGCAGGCAGCCCGGCCTCCTGCCTGCCAGGGAGCAGGTGGGATGTGCAGTCAGCTGGTGAGGGAGTTCTTGGGGGAGAGAATGGAGGCAGAGGGCAGCAGGCTCTCCACTTGCCCTGGTGGGCATGGATGGGTATGAGGGTGAGAACATGCAGACAAAGGTATTCCCAAACTCAGGATGTTTGTTGTTCTGAAAACAGCCATTTGACATGGCCTGCTATGTGCGCACCACTTCCTCCCTAGGGAGATAAGAGGTCCCAGAAAAGTGCCCTGCCTTGCCCAAGGTTAGTGGGCCCTTCCTCTGTCCCTCCCTCCTCTAACATGCCCAGGCTTCCTCTAGGCGGGGAGGACAGTGGAGTCCTGAAGACAGTGTAGGGTCAAGGGAGCAGGGCAGCAAGCATCAGGCAGCTGTGGCTCGGGCCTCTTTACAACCTCTTGTTTTATATTTTGCTTCTCCCTACTCTGTAGGATTCAGACTTTACTCTTCCATCTCTAACTCTGACAACTGCTCCCACCCTGAAATTGTCCTTGGCCTCCAGCAAGCCTGCCCCACATCTGCTTCACTGATCTCATGAAGTACACACAGACCCCTGACCCAGGCCAAGAAAAAAACACTGGCTTTCTCCTGCTCCCACCCTGAAATTGTCCTTGGCCTCCAGCAACCGTGCCCCACATCTGCTTCACTGATCTCATGAAGTAAACACAGACCCCCGACCCAGGCCAAGAAAAAACACTGGCTTTCTCGACCAGATGCCAGGAGGGGGCCTGGGCCAGCCTGCCAGCCTCCCCTTCCCTATCCTCTTTGGCTTTTCCACCCTGTGGGAAGACCTCATCTTCCTCCCTTGTCCACTCAGGCTGGCTGGGGGCCCAGAGCCGGAGCTGGTCCAGGAACCTCCCGGAGAACTGCTCTGTCTTTGGAATGCTGGCCTTTCCTTTTTATCCCACAATGCACTGGGCTAGGCTGCAGGCCAAGGGGCTCACGTCTTGGCGTGGGGACCCTTCCTCGGCAGGTGGGGAGCAAACAGCCCCCTGCCCCAGCCAAGGGCCCCATAAGGCCCCAAACTTGAGCTTATGTGGCCAGAATGTCACTTGTTTTATTGGAGGAAGGTTTGTACCAAGGAAAGGTGGCAGCCCAAATGGAAAGGCACCTCCTGCCACCCCTACCACAGAACCCCCTCTCTCTGTCCCCCTGCTGTCCTCACTCCTTACCATCCTACTGACCCTGGCCCTCACCGTGCACCCCATCCCTGGCCTGAAATGTGAGAGTTTCCTTCCTCTGGGACAGGACTCCTTGCCTCAACTCTCATCATTTTGGCAGGCTTCCTGGGAGCAGAGGCCCGTAAGTGGGAAGAGGAAGGCCCCTCTGGGATTCCTCTTCTGGTCACAGCCCAGGCCAGACCGGGAGGGAGGTCCACAGTCAGGATGACCCCAGCGTGAGCCCAGCCTTTCCCTCTGCCGGTGATGTCCAGGAAAACGATCTCAAAGCTTGGGCTAGTGCGCGCTTGACCACTTGAATGGGGGCCCTGAGGGTCTGGGGGGACCAAGTGAGGGTTTTAGGTTCGGACTTGTTGGGCCTGTGGGAGCCCCCTAGCCTGCCTGCCCTCCTCGCTGACTTGGACAGTGGGTTGTCCTTTCTTGCCTAAAAATTCAGTATGAAGAGAGCTCTAAGTTAGGGGACGTTGGCCAATGGTTTGAAGTCTTTCAGACCCTAGTGGGTCTCAAACTTCTAGACTAAAGAACTGTGTGACCTTGGGCTTTTTCTCCAACCTCTCTGGGCTTCAGTTTGCCCCTCTGTACAGTGGGTATACCGAGGTTTCTGGCCTCCTGGTTTGCAGCACAGCTGTGTGGCACATGCAGAAGGGAGTGTGGTTATTCTGGTGTGTGGTGGGTGGGTGTTGGGAGGAGGCTGGGGCCCAGCATCCTAGAGAAGCAAAATGGGCTGGGCTTTTAGCTGGGGGCCACCAAAAGAGTGACCACTGCCCCCTGGACAGAAATGGATTCTGCATGAGTCAGTGAAGCTGAAGTTTCAGGCCCCTCAATGGCAGAGTCCTGGAAGGGACAGCAATGTGTCCACAGGGTCACATATTCTGGTAAACTTTGCAAAAGAAAGATATTTTGTTGTTTTCTCTAAGAAGTCCCTGAAAAGTTTCATGCATCATAAACTCAGGCCCCACCTCTGCCTGATGGCATGGAGTGACCCAGATATTTTTGAGAAGGGAGAGAAAGAAGGAAGGAAGCCTGAAAATGACTTCCATGTGTGCAGGCTCATGCAAGCTAGATGTTGCCCTGTCAGCCCTTCGGGGAGGGACCTAAAGGACGGAACGGCGGGGAACCTAGAGACCCTAGCAAAACTGTCACGATGAAATTTGGGGAGGGGCGAAGAGCTTGGGAGACCCTGGGCTCCCAGAGAGGAAGAGATGACACAGCACTGACCGGCTCCTCCAGGGTGACCATGCGCCAAGGTTGTGCATCCAGGACCCAGTGAGGGGTGACCGGCTCTCCAGGGGTGTTTCCTGGGGTGAGAACAGAGCACAGGGTGAGAGGGACTTGAGGAACAGATGGGAGTGGGGACAACAGAGGAATAGGGTTAGAAGATGTCATCAGGGAGGAACATCCATCTTCAGCACTCAGAGGTTTAGCCTGGAGGGCAGGCATCCATGGAGCATTCTCAGAACTGAGGAGTATTTAGAGAGATGGCAGAAGAGGGACAGAGGAGCCTGGGAAGGACAGTTCAGCTGGGGATGCAGGAGCCCCACTGACCTTGGGGGAGGGTTTGGCAGTCAAAGGTCACAAGGAAGAGACCAAATCCTCCAGTGCACAAGGGAAGAGAATGGGGAGGCAGCCTCGGGTATTTTTAGACTGAGTGGCAGATGTCTTTAGTGTGAGAGATTTGTGAAGAGGATGCCTGTGTCTCTGCCACCCTCTGAGAAAAACAACAGCTAGATGTTATCTTGGGAGGCCCACCTTGCTCAGAGACCCCATTGGGGGCTTCATGCTGGAGATGGGGCTTCCAGAGACCCTGGCCCAGAAGCCCCTGGGAGACAGAGCCTGAGTGCTCCTGGACTGAGTGTGCTTAAGGGGGGAGGGGGGTCAGGAGGAACACCAGAGCCAAGCATTACTTAGAGGTCGCTGGAATGTTCCCCTGGAATGCTCCCAGCCTCCCTCACCATGGGCCCCAGTAACTCTCATTACACCATCCCTGTAAGAGCCAGGCCCCAGACAGCCCAGAGCCTGCAGGCAGCCATCCCACACCTCTGGCATTCAGTCCCTGGGGAAGCCCAGCTCCCAGAATAGACAGCTCCCCAATCCCCACCCAGCCCTGACCCCAGTCCTGCCCAGGCTGAGATGGCTGCTTGTGGAAGTGGCTCAGCAACTACCAGGTCACTATTAACTCCTTTCCCCTCCTCCATCTCCTCCCCTAAGCCCCATCTTCAAAGACCTAGAATAGCAATAGCTCCAGGGGTCCCCTTCCCCCAAGAAGCCCTCCCTGATTTGGATGAGTGAGTTGCCATGGTGGGTGGAGGGAGGACATGGCCATGGATTGGAGGCTGAGAGGTCAGTGTGGGGAGGAGTCTGAAAGCTTCTAGGGAGAGGGAGAAGGGGATTCTTCTCAGCCCAGAGAGGACTTAACGGGTGTGGAGAACCAGGTCTTGCTGGGCCCGGGTCTCTTACGGTGGAGAGGGGAGGGCCTGCCTGTGTGCATGTGTGGGTATGGATTGGAGGTTCTCCTCATGGCCCTGTGCACACACACTGACCACTGGCACCTTGACAAAGGAGAGAGAGGCAGAGATGGAGCTGTGGCAACTAGGCAGATAGGAGTAGAAACTGGGGGAGCCAGTGTGTGTTAGGGAGCATAGAGCCCCTCTTCACTCCTCCCGAGGGTCAAATCATCATCCCCTGACCCAAGGCTGAGGAGGAGTAGGAAGCTGCAGAATGCCTGGGACTATCCCTAAGGGCATGACAGCTATCATCCCTTCCCTTGGGGGCCCCAGAACAGAGCAGGACCCTATCCTTGTTGGGTCCCCCCTCCACACTGCTCTAGAACCCACCTCTAGGCTGCGAGCCCTGCCTTTCCTGCCTCCTCCCTGGTCACCTTCCCTGTCCCCTCACCAGGCACAAGATTTACAGGACTCTGCAAATCCTCCCATCCACATGGAGAGGTTGCTGTTGTCCTTGTCCCCAGAGAGTTGGAGAGGTTACACTGGGAAGAGCCGGAGTGGAGTCTTCTCCCACAGCCCTGCTAAACAGGCACCTTCTGTTTGGTGCCACCCTGCTCTATCTAACCAAACAAGGCAACAATATAAGCAATATAGACACCGCCCCAAGGTCCTGGGATGAAGGGATGAGCAAGGGTGATTTGTGAGCATGGAAGCCAGAGTTCATTCCCTAGTCTGAGGACACAGCAGGGACTCTGGGGCGCCAGTGCACTGGGGGCTCCCAGGAGGAGGAAAGTCCCTTCAGCCCTAAGGGATGCAGGGGCAGGAACTTTCCCACTGAGAAATGGGGCCTGGGGGTGATTCCAGCAGAGAATCCAAGCAGAGGGGATTGAGGGGCTGGGCAGCTACTCAGAGGGGAGGGGTCCCTGCCACTCTGTTTTGTCGTGGGCACAGTGGCAACTGGGCAGTGTGTAAGTCTGGGCCCAAGACCAAGTGACAGTCCCTGGACAAGTCCCACAGACGCCCTCCCAAACCCTCCCTGTTCCCTGTCCTCTTGACTGCGCATTCCCAGGGTTTCAAATCTTCCATCCTCTGACAGTGTCCCTAGGGGCGCGCTCCCACTCACCGCGAAACGCCTCGGCCCCCCACATCGGCCATGGTAGCCGCCGCAGCAGCAGCAGCAGCAGCAAGACCCGCGACCCTAGAGCTCTCCTAGACCTTCGGCCCATAGCTGTGAGCGCCTCGGCCTCTGAGCGGCAGCTCCGCGCCAGGCTCCACGCTCCCGGCTCCCGGCCCCGCC